CACTGAAACATGGAGATGTAACGACAGAACAAAATGAAGGGAATCCTAGGATAGTAGTTGTGTACCAAGAGTAGAAGGCAATCAAGCCAGAATGAAGGTCAGCAAAGAGAAAGCTCTCCAGAAGATAATACTGATAACAATACACACTATGTATGAACATCTCAAGAGACACTTGATAAAAAGGTGAATGAAACATAGTTATAGATAAAAGTGAAGGAGGTTGGAAGGGGAAGAGACAATGAACTCCTGCCACATCACCAATGGTAAAGCTAACAGTAAGTAACACTGAGAATTCCTCATCAGTTCTTTAGTTTTTTTTTTTTTTTTTTTTAAAGATTTATTTATTTATTTATTTATTTATTTATACAAGCACTGGGTACAGTCAGAAGCGCGGGATGGTGAGAGAATTCACCAGAGCCAGAGCAGGGAGCAGAGCAGGCAGAAGGACCGAAGTACACTGCTGAGGGGAGCAGCGGGCTGCAGGAGAGGTCTGCGCGCCATGTAAACCCGCGCTGCAGAGGCTGCGGGCAGCTTCACAACCCAGCGCTCAACTGCTGCGCCACGGGGGAGGCCCTCCCTCTTTAGTTTCTTACATCAAGTGCAAGACAATCAAGAATTGTTAGAAATCTGAGGACAGATTATCACAAAATGAAAGCCCAAAATATATAAAAATAATGGGAAAAAGCAGCAGAAGCAATCAGACTATGCTGACAGATGGAAACTTGAAGGGAGCATCCATTATTGCTTATGCTAAATACTTTACTATATATAACAGCTGGGATGGAACAGAGATGAGAATTCAGGACATTGCACAGGATAGGAAAAAGTAATTCTTTTTAACAAGAATATTGAATAACAAATGGTGATGTAATCATTACTATTAGGAAGAGGAGTACTAGGTGGCATGGGGATCAACTGGCAACAGAGTAATAACAGAGCTAAAACTTCATTTTCTATACAGTAAGTTAAAAAAGCCAAAAACAAAAGCAAGGAGTATTTTATTTAACATTGACATAGCGTACAAGTTAAGAAACAACTATAAGGGCTTTCCAAATTCATTTAATACTTGTAACAACCATATGAGTTTGGTACTACTGTCTACATTTTCTTAAGTTTTGTTTTTAATTGCATTTTTTTTTTTTAATTGCATTATTTTTTATGGAGGTTGTGTTGGTATACAATACAGCGCATGCTTTCAGAGATACAGATTCAAGCCTCTTAAGATGTATATTACCACACCACACCCGTCACCAGGACACCAACAACCCCTCACTGTTACAGTCTTTCATGCTCCGTCCACTTTCTTCCCCCTCCTGACTTATTTCCCTTAGCACAATCCCCTCCAGTTCATCCATGCTGTTGCAGATGACAAGATTTCATCTTTTTTATAGCTGAGTAGTATTCCATTGTGTAATACATCACATCTTCTGTTGCTGAATTATCCCCATTTTTTAAAATAGGCTTAGAGGCACAACAGAGCTTAAGTAGCTCGATAGTACATTAAACTTAGTAAATGACAGAGGAAAGATCAAATCTAAGCAGTCTAATTCCAGAGTCCATAATTCTAACCACCTAGTTATGTTGTACATGTAATAGCAATACAAGCATGTATTTAGAGGCTAAGAGGTAAACAGCACAATAATCATATAGAGAGGTGAAAAGTATTGCTTCTGGGAAAGGGAAATGGAAAGGAAGCCGGGAGGAAGCTTTTGTTTTGATAACCATGTGACTGTGCATATACAACTGCATGTACAACCTAAATAAAAATGAAAACCTGAAATTTAGTCTCTTATCTGATGCTACTATCCTTAAAAACAGGCAAAATGGGTGTTACTCCTAAGCAAAATCTCATTCCTCTTTGATAAATACTTGAGGGCCTAACATGTAACAGGCACTCTATTTGGAAGAAAGATTTCAAGGCAAAAGACATACCAAAAGTAAGTGCATTTCTTCTCCATTTTTACACAAATCAATGATCCCACATCTCTGACCACTGTGTGTAAGGTGAGAGACAATAGAAATTTTAAGTTATGATTAAAAAAAAAAACCACAGAGACAAGTCTATTCATTAATTCATCCAAAAATATTTATCCTTGTCCTTGAGGAACTCAGTCTTGTGGGGAAGATGGGCAAAGAGAATTATAATTGAATGTGTGCAGAGCCTTAAACAGAAGAACAGAAAAGGTGCTAGGGAAACAATGTTCCCTGAGTGAAGAGACTCCTTCAAGAGGGAACATCTGAACTTAGTCTTGAGTAACAGAAGTCTGACCAGTGCCCTATTGGAGGCGGTACTGATAACCACAAAACACAAAGACTCCAGATCAGTGTGAAATAGGTGTATCTTCCCTGTGGTGTAAAGGTTAAGTTCATGTTAAAGGCTAAGATAAGACATTCAGACTTTTTAATGAGAATAGTTTTTAAAAAGCAAAATACTTTTGCTCCTGAACTTTACAGTGTCTCCCAGCGCCCAACTGAAAACATTTTTCACAGGTCTAATAAACATCTTAAGATTTCAAGTGTTAGGATATTATTTCAAAAGTGACTGAAAGATGGCTACATCCTTCATTTGTCCTATCACCAAAAAGTTACATTGCTAATATGTTTTCTGAGTCATAATATTGAAATTATAATGTACTCCTTCATCCCATGAGAAACTAACCAGGCAGAAGATCCAAGAGGCTATCATGAGATAAAAAAGTTAATTCTTAATCATCACTTTTTTTCTGGAAGCTATCCTCACAAACCCTCTTAAGAGCAAATTGAAACATTTCTTTTTTCAAACTCCAATGAGAGAAATAATATGTGGTATAAATATAAGAAAATATACATATTTATTCTTTCTGACCTTTACAGGTATTTCAGGGATGAAACATTTTCACTTTTCAGAGCTTAAAGGGTAGCTCTGAAACAAAAATTTTCTAGTTTTGATGACTTATTTTTGATATTAACTAACAAAAGGTTGAAAATGTAGTAAATTCAAAACAGCTACAGCCTGAAGACAAGTTACTTTAAACCAATTATTTCATATTTCTTAGTATGTTTGTTCCTTTAATTCCAAACCTTTCTACATAATTTGTCCCTAATTAATCTTTACCTCAGCTACTCTATGCAAAAATTATGTACTAGTACCTTAAACTGGGATTCTACCCCTACAGTTAAAAACCTGGTTTGGAAGTAGTAACATCTAACTAATTGTCTGCAACAGCAAGTTGTGAAAAGCCCTATCATGCCTTACCACCAGGTGGGGGTGGGGGGAGGCATGTCAGGAGACTGCAAATGGTAATTAACAAAAATCAAGGCAGATTGAATTCAAATATGTGCTTTTCCTTTATGTTATTTCACCTGTCTTTCATTTCTTAAATTTAGCATCCACATAATGTACCTGGTTTTTTATAGGGACTTCACTCAGATTATACCCAGTAGATTTGGAAAATAATATTTAAAGTAAATAATTGTTTTAAAATTATAGGTTATTAGCAATTACAGGTAAGTATTACCCTATGATAAAATTAAAGGTTTACAACAAATACAATAGGACTATTAAGGAACCACCTTTTAGAAGAAGTCTACTTTTTAAAGTACAGTTTTAGATAAATGATACAAAATACATTTGTTTAGATGACAAGATTTTAATTACATGACTGAGAATCTTGTTTTCCAAGATTTTTATTTTTAATTAAACATGGCATTAACCTTACATTATTTTAAATAATTTAAAAAAAACCATGAATCCTCACTGAAACATTTGGCCTTTATCTTTTCCAAAAGTTGCAATTTTTTGGAAACATGCTGAATTTCTCTGAAGTAAAAGCCACAAATATACATTTCCAATTGGTTTGAAGAAAGCTCAGTCACAAAAATCTCCAGCACTAAAATAATTAAATATCTTTCAAGCTTATTCAAAGTTCCACAGTGGCGATGAATAGTTTCTGTCATAACTCCTATTTTATTTTGCTCAAAGTTAGTCACAGACTGACATATTTGGGTAAAGAACATTCTTTTAAAATCAAGGTAGTTTAAAGCAATGTAGATGGATGAGAGATTTCACAACTTTTCTAGCCAGCCTGCTTCAAAAATACAAATTTAATTCAATAACTATAATTAAAACCTTATTTCCAATCCAATTCAGAAAACACTGGTTTAATAATATATTTTAGGCTTCATTTTTTTTTTTGTTTTTTTGGTAAGGAAAGAACAGGTGGAATAGATTAGTAGAAGGTAGTCTCATTTCCATGACTAAATTCAACCCTCCAAGACTTACTTTCTTTACTCTTTAAAATGGCCACCTCCTTGATCTACTGTGTAACAGGAAAACTCTACAGCACAATACTATTAAAGATAAATCTGGTTATATTGCTAGCATATCCCTTCCTTCCCCACAAAATATTTTAGGACACTCATTCCTTTGCTGTTCAGATAAAATGACCATTAAATAAATATACAAAAGTTGGTCAATTACAATATGAGGGCACGCTATACAACCCAGATTAGGTTATCTTTCCTATAGCGCCTGACTAGGAAAGCAGTTAACATTATCTTTCACAGATTAAGATCAAACACAGAACTGAAAAGGATTGTCTAGTGTAGTAAAGGAGACACAAATGTGGGAGCAACAATCTTCCCCAACAGATGTTCATAAGGGTTAGTAATGCAAAAAGAACAGATTAAATATTATGTGGGTTAGCACAATTTTGGTTTGTTAGTAATTAATTGTTCCAAAAATCATTCTATAAATAACAAAATCACTTGGTGCCCCCCAAACCTGTTTTTTAATGCTCAGTAACTATTCAAATACTGTTTACCTATTACTCGTAACATTTCCTATCCACTCTGAAAACATTCTGTAACACTCTTGCTCTAGAAAATTTACCACAAAAATGCATTTTGCACATATAAAAATGAAAAGTATATAATCCCTTAGACTGTGTGCATATATTAAACTGCTAAACAGATTAATTTCTAATCTGTTGAATAGCTACAGAAACATGACATGATCTTACCTCTCATCCTCGCCATCCACCAGGGGTGTCGTCAGCGGTAGCACCTTCAACGGGAAAAGAGAAGCAGAGGCTGCTAGGCTGCTGCTACTCCCATCTGAAACTGCTGACATTCCCCCACTGTCACCACTGATAGTCTGAGGTAAACCAACTAAGGAGGGTTCCGTTGAGCGCCTGGCATCTTCAATTTGGCTTCCAATTGCCTGAGCTAAGGATTGTGCAGAGAACTGAGTAGAACTTAGTGGTATCTGTTGTGCCAAAGGCAAATTTATATTAGTTGCTATCAATGGAGGTTGACTAACACTTTGAACCAAATTACCATTCTGGGTGGCAGGGGTTTGTGCTATATTCTGTGGTGGAACCAAGTTTGTTGGGACAGAAGGCATTCCAGAAGGACCAGTTGAACTAACCTGATTTGAAACAGAAATACTACTAGCAGAGGGCAAAGGGCTAACTGCAGGCAACTGCTGCGAAACAACTCCTTGAGCTACTGATTCTGCTCCTTGTGGCTGGGGAGGCACAGTTAACAAGGTACTTTGGGGTGCAACGACCAATTGTTGAGGAAGGCTTGACGCGCTAGTTGGAACTCCCTGATGAATAATCGCAGTTTGAGCAGGTGGAACTATTTGTGAAGATGGAGGAGCACCTTGCTGAATAACTGAAGGTGTGACTTGGGTAGAGGACTGCTGCACTGCAATAGGTATGCTTGCTTGTTGACCAATATTTGCAATTTGACTGCCAGCAGGTACAGCAGATACTGCTGTTTGAGCCTGACCAACAGGCTGGCCAGATGCCCCTGCAGGTTGTGCTTGGACTGCTGTGGGCTGCACTGGCAGCTGGATACTCTGTGGCTGAGCCAAAGGAATCACTGTTGTTCCTGCTCCCACTCCTGCAGAACTGGGCTGTCCAGTGGACACCGCTGTTTGAAGGATGGGCTGCTGGACATACTCTGACGTAGGATTCTGAGTCACTGATTTACCATGGCCCCCGGTCATCTGTGTAGGAACTGTTGGTGGCTGTTGTCCATACTGTAGCTGCTGGGGTGGTACCCCCGGATGGGAAGTTTGCACTGGAGGAGCCGTCTGAGAATATGGCAGTTGCGGTTGAGCCAAACTGGAAATGGAAGGCTGCTGACCTAAAGCTGAAGTTACACCAACCACGTTAACAGGTGATGGCTGGATACCAGTTGCAGCATTGATCGTGGCTTGCAGAGGTACTGGTTGAAGACCTTGTTTCTGCTGATAGCTCAGTTCTTGAGACTGTAGTTGTACTTGTGAGATCTGTGACTGAGAAATACTCTGTGGTATACTAACCACTGAAATACTCTGTGGACCAGTGCTACTGAAATCCATCTGTTGAAGGGCCACACCTGGAAGAGCGGGTTGCTGCTGCTGGACCACCACATTAGGGGCGCCCATCTCTCCGCTTCCCACACTCTCTGTGTAGTGACTCAGTGTGCTGACACTACTGCTCACTGAACTCCCACTAGTGCTCTCCCTCTCAGAGGTCACATCTACTGGATTTTGTCTTACAGTCTCCACCACTTTATTTATCACCACACCTTCTGTAGCAGGGACAGCGTTTTCCTTTTCATAGAACTCAGTGCAAGTCCATCTGCCTTTTTTAAAGGGTTCAGAACTAGAATCTAACTTCACAACTCTGAACCTTGAGGTGTTAACTGTTGGCTGCTGCTGCTGACTTGAAGCCGATCCCACAGCGATCCCTGCAGCTGCGTTAGGGACACTGTTAACAGCAGAGGAAGAAACAGTACCATTGCCCATACCACTCAAAATATTCACATTAACACCGCTGCTAACTACAGGCCCAACACTCACACTAGCAGCGCTAGGAATATTGCCTGCATTTATATTAGCGTTACCTAGCACGCTGCTCGTCACATTAGGACTAAAACTACCCACAGCGGTAATGTTATTATTCACTGTATTAGTGCCAGTAACCGAACTGATACCTATACTGCCAGTAACATTCGGAGAACGGACATTAGTCATTACAGATGCAGGTGAACCACCCGATGATACAGCAGAAGTTGGTGCCGCTGAGATAACACTGTCAGAGCTTCCAGTTGTAGAGAGTTTTCTGGATACTGGGCTTGAAGGTGGCCCTCCAGGAATGGATGCACTGGCCACACCAGCATGGGATGGATGGTGGTGCCCATGGTGGAGGTGGTGCCCGTGATGAATGTGATGATGGTGATGGAGGTGGTGTGGATGAGCATTCCCATTGATCACAACATTCTGTTGTGGAAGGTGAGGCAAATGAGGCTGAGGAAGGTGGGGCTGGTTGGGAGAGACGGCCCCGGGTGTCTCGGCTTCCTGGAAGTTATTCAGAGTCTCTTCTGAGGAGCTGCGTTCAGGCTCCCCTAAGTCAGTAGCCCTGGAAAGTGACACATCAAGGATCTCCGAAGAAGACAGATCTTCCGTGTGAGATTCATCCAGATCATCATAGCTCTCAGTGTCCTCTGCTATACTGTTGTTAGAGCTGATACTGGCGGAGATCTGGGCCGGGGTAACGCTAGTTATCTGGAAGCCACTCTTCTTTTTCATCTGAGTTCCTCCTGGCGCAAGAGGCTGTGCCTGCAGCTGAGCCTGCGAAAGGAGGTTCAGGCTTTGTGGAGGCGGAGGCTGTGGTCCCGATGTAGACGATGCTGCAGGAGGCGGCGGCTGGAGCAGCGACGGAGCCGGAAAATCCTCGGAAGATGTGGCATTACTACTCCCGACACCGGTACCTGCTGCACTGAGAGCAGAGGCGCTGCCACCAGCGCTGCCCCTTCTAGGGAACATAGCCGGGTGCGCCATCTTCCTAGCGCTAATGTCTGCAGCGGCCGCGGCGGCGGTGGACTCGGGCGGCTGGTGCATTGTGTTGGGTACCGGGGGGCGGAGGAGGCGAGTGCAATTTCCTTCTCCACCGTAATCTTTGTATTCAAGACGCCAGGGAGGAAAACGGGACCTGACGCTCCGCCTGGCGCGGTTTCTCCTCCTCCTCCTCCTCCTCAGCCGGAGGCGCGGGCCACTCCTGCCTTCGAGGCGAGCTTCGGGAAGGGAGGATGAACGAGGGTGAACAGGGCGGCCGGGGACCCGAAGGGGGGACCCCTTCAGTCCTTCGCCATTCACTTTCCCCTCTAATCTCACACCCCCCTTTATATTCCGCTTCACGTGGGGTGCGGGGCAGGAGGGAGGGAGGGGAGGGGAGCGGGAGGGGGTGGGAAAGCCGAGAAATGCCCACCTTCTCTGGCCACCTCAGAAGCCGCCTCAGCCCCTCCTCCCGCCGCGGCGGCGGCCGCTGCAAGCCCTCCCGGCCGCGCTGCACCGAGGCGGCGCGGAGCGAGCGTCGCCCTCCCGGCCACCCCGGCGCCGCCGCCGCCGAGCCCCGAGCTCAGAGTCGCTCCAACCTCCCCTCCCGGCCCCGCTGGCCGCGCTCGGCCCTCCCCCCGCGCCCCGCGGACCCTTTCAAACCCCCTGGGCTCGCGGCGGCTGCTCCGTGAGGAAACGCTGGCCGCGGCTGGGGCCGGGGCGGCGCGGCTGGGAGCGGGGCGGCGGCGGGGCGCCCGGTACGGTGAGCCCAGCAACGGGGCGCGGGCGGGCGCGCAGAGACGCCGGGTCCTCGCGGGGCACGGCCGGGGCGCGGCGGCGGCGGCGGCGGCGGGAGCCCAGGGACCGCTCCATCACTGGCAGCCATGGAGCCCGAGCATTTTCCTCCCTCGGGGCGGGCGCCGCGGCTCGGCTCGCGTCCGCGGGGAGGAAGGGCCGGCGCCCGAGCCTCCCCGCAGGGCGGCGGGACGTGCGCTAGCGCGGCGGGGTGCGAGCCGCTCCCGTCCTCGGGCTCCGCAGCCGGCCGGTCCTCACCCCGCGGCGCCCGCGGCCGGGCGCGAGGGCTGCGGGCGGCGACGGCTCCTTCCTCGTCGGCGTTGGTGGCCGGACGGGCTGGTGCGGCGGCGACTGCAGCCGACGCCGTTCAAAGGAACGAAAGGTGGGGTTGGTCGGTGTCGGCAAACGGGGCGGGTGAGTGGGTGGGTGCCGCGGGAGGGCGGCGGCGAGGGGAGGGGGCTGTGGTGGTTGTTACTAGTGCTCCTCTCCGGCTCCGCCGTATCCCCCCGTCTCTCGCGGCATCGGGGGAGGAGGGACCAGCGCCCGAGCGCAGGAGGAGGAGGGGCGACGGCCGGCGAGAGGAGGCGGCGGCGGTGGCGGGGGGAGGGGGCAGGCGCAGGAGGAGGGAAGATGGCGTCTGCGCATGCGCCCCAGTGCCGCAGACATAAAGCCGGGTCCGGCAGAGGCGGCGGCGGCGGGTCTTCGGGTCTTCCCGAGCGCCGGGTCTCCCGCCGGAAATTGCCGAAGGCTGGCGGACGCGCCGACGCCGACGCCGGGATGGGGATGGGGAGGGGGGACATTTCGGCGGAGGGAGCGAATCCGGGTCGGCCAGTGAGCGCCGGCCCGCGTGGGGGTGGGGCGGGCGCGGGGGCGCGCAGGTTAGGCGTGTCCGCTCTGCTCTCACTAGCGGCCGGCGCGCGCGGGCGCGGGCCCGCGGCCGGGGAGGGGGCGCGGCGGGGGGGCCCGCGGAGGCTGCGGGAGCCCGGGGCTCGGGGTGCGCGCGCGGGGTGGCGTCCCCCGCCTGCGGAATGGGTAATGAGGCTTCTCTCCGCAGCAACAGCATCACGAGTTTCAGTTCCCAGGGGCCCGCCGCCGCCACGACATGAGTCAGGCTTTCTCCTCGGCGCGTGGCGGGGCCCTGCTGCTCGCCGCACCTGGGCTCGCCCCCGGCCCGCGCCGCCCGCGCCCCCGCCGAGGATGCCCCGGCGCCGGGCGTGGCCGGCTCCGCGGGCGCGGGCGACTCCTCGCGATGGGTGCTGCCTTTTGTGCACCGCGGCGGCGCTGGCCTTGAGAGCCCCCCACCCTTGGGCGGGCAGGGGCGAGCCCGCCGGCCGAGATTGCAGCTGTTTGCAGTTAGCAGCCCAGCTCCTCCCGGGTGCACCCTCGGGAGGGGGGTGCTCCTCCTCACCCGGAGACCCGCTGCAGCCCGACCCGACAACTGACCGACCTCAACAGGTGGCGCTCATCCCCACCACGGATGTTTTAGCCTTCCGTTGTCCGGGCTGTTGCCCCCAGAGGCTTGCCGAGATGGCCTAGTCATGGTGGCAACGCAACTGCATTGATACAGGAGGACTACCTTTTAGGGTTAGAAAAGAAAAAGGTCATCTGCAATTCCAGGGAAAAACGGTGTGAGGCTGAGCATAGTTCTGCAGAAGCAATGTTGGGTTTGATTGAAAGCACTCTAGTGGAAGTTGCTATCCTGCCATTGCTAGTCAGGTCATTCATTCTGTTGATAACTAAGCATTATTGACTACGCTTGTAGCCCGGGAGTTAAAACAAGGCAATATGGGAAATCCCATAGAGAATTTTTTTTTTTTTAACCTGAGGTTATTGCACTAAACGTTCATCCTGGCTTCCCTGCTTATGAAATATCAGACTTAAAGATCCACAATCCTCTTTCAGGAGTTTGTTAAAGCACAAAGGCTCGTAGTTTGGATAGATATCAAGCTGTCGATTCAACTAAAGGATCCTAACTTATTCGCTAAACTTTCCATCATTCGACCCCTTTAAAAGTTTGGATGTCACCATTCTTATATCATTGAATAGAAATGCATCCTCAACTTCCCTTGTATATTCTGTACCAAAGCTATGACATTGCTTTTTCTCTGGTATTCCCCAGTAAACCTAAAAGGCAGGACATCTGTTATTTTAAGTAGCTAGGTAGAATAGGTACTCAAATTTTGAAAGTGATATGGTAATAAAAATCAAATACATTCAATAAGATCATCCTTGTTTTACAACATTCAGTCAAGAATTAATGTATGAATGATTGTATTTTTAAATAACCGGTAATTTGTGTATTTCACAAAAATAATAATTTCTTTTGTAATGTCCCAACAGCTTTTGTTGCAAATGGCTGCCCTCCATTGTTAAAAATGCAAATTTGACATGCTTTTCCAACGGTTTTTGAATGGAAAATAGAAACTATCCTAAAGATTGAAACTGCAGTGGAATGTAGATAGGCAGAATGCCTTTTCTTTGGACTACGTGTGAAAGAAAATGCGTTTGAGCTCTCAAAATGTTGCCTTAGGTCAAAGTTTTAAATTACCCAAAACAACAGCACAGTACCCCGCAGGCTACCTAAATGCCTTCTATGATTGCACAGATATGGTTAGAAAGAGAAGAAACACAGTTAATACTTTAAAATCTTACCCAAAATTGACAAAGCCTTAAGGTAGCCCTTTAAAGCAGACACTTGTTCTAATAACCAGCATTCTAAGCCTTCGGGTCGTGCTGATGTTGGAGGGTGGGTATATTATTTCTCTTAAAAGAAAGTTTTTGTTTTTGTTTTATTTTTAACTTTTCCAGGCTAACATAATATTGTCTTTTCAAATGTATTTAACTTGTGTCTGCCCTATCACTTTCAGTTCCTGTTTAGGCTCCAAATCCCAGTAAAATATAAAGGACAGTTCTGCAATTAGGGAAACCTGAGTTTGAAAAAAGTCTCATGTCTCCAAGTTGCCAACATATTGTTAGGGGGGAAAGGATGTCCTAAAGCTAATTCCATACAGGCTTTGTGGACTCCACCCCCACCCCAGGCCAAAGCCACTGGGAATTCCAAATCCCATCACCACCAAAGGGAAGGTGGCTGGGACCTGAGGGTGGGGTTAAGCAGCCAGGTTGGTATAAAGACAGACATGTGGGCTTTGGAGGGGTCTCCCATTTTGACTCTCCGCCAGCTCGCAGCGTCAGGCCAGGTCGGAGAGTGCTTTTTGGGTTTCCAGGTCGGCGGAACGGGTAGGACGCATTAAAGACTTTATTTCCCTATTTTCTCCCTGAGTTGTACATTTTCCTTATTTCCTTTTCCCTTGTAAATAAACTTTTTATTAACCTTTTGTGTGTGCCTGTAGTGGAGTATTAATAAGTCCCTTGTAAGCACGCGGGTGAGGACCCACAGCCAGGCAACCCGTTCAATATAGGGGCTGCCCTATAACAGTATGACCAGCAAGACATTATCACAAGCACATTAAAACAAGCAGAAGCACTAAACAGCTGGGTGTAGTTATTGTGTTACTACCTTTTAATTTTAAAAGTCTGGAATTTTTTTTACATTAATTGTAAATGCCTGCTACTATGTGTAATGAAGTCTTTAATCCTTTGAAACAAGTACTTAGAATTATCCTTTGCCTTGTGAAAGACTGAATTTCACCTGTTTATACTCAAGGTATATCTCTGAATTATTCTCTATTGACCAAGAGATTAGTCTATAGTGCAGTATTCACTTAATTTCAGTCATTGTCAACACTGCAAACCACCATCTGCATTTAGCTGTGCTTAGTGGTTTTTCTATCAAGAAAAGGGAAATTTGCTAACATTATAACACAGTTTACCTACTTGTGAGAAATGTGTAGTAGTTTAAAACTAAGTAATTCTCCAAAAGTAATATCCACTTAACTCAGAATGGCTATGAGTAGTAAAGATAGATATTAAACAGAAATATATACAGAAAATATGGCACTATTCAACTCCAGTAACTATTCTGGCTAGCCAATGCTTCAGTCAAATAATATTATTTATAAAACTTTTAAATGTTATCTAGAAAGTCAAGTTTTCAAACAAGTTATAAACATGAGAAAAATCACATATTTTTAAGATATAAAGAAATATGTGGGGCCTCCCTGGTGGCGCAAGGGATTAAGTCTCGCTTCACTATGAAGCTATCAGCAGCCACTGCAGCAGAGCTCCATTCCTGGCCAGGGAGCTAACCCACATAGCTCAGCAGACCTCTCCTTTCTAGCCTGCTGCTCCTCTCAGCAGTGTATTTCAGTAGATCAGCCTGTTCTGCTCCCCACTCTGTCTCTGGTGAATCCTCTCACTGCCCCCCGCCCACGCACACACATACCTCTAGCCTGCACGCCAGCTCTTGTATGCATAAATAAATAAAATCTTTAATAAAAAGAAAGAAACATGTGAGGATATTGTGGCATGTTTACAAATCAATTTGCTCTCCAGAAATTTTTTTAAATGAGACCAGAATAGTATATATGCTGCTAGACTTTTGTAAATAGCAAAAAAATGCTTATTTTGAAACTTCAGATTTCAATGAGTACAGTTAGTCTTATAACTGATTAATTTTTGCGGCAATTGTTAAATTGTTAATATATTTCTGTTCAGCTAAACAATCATCAATGCCTCTGATACATACTCACTCATTAATTCTGCTCTTTGAGAGAAGAATTGTTCTCATTTAAAAAGTGATCATAAGAGGTTAAAAAACTTGCCCAAAGAAAACTGGGCCGCTACATGCAAAAGAATGAAGCTTGACTACTACCTCACACCATACACAAAAACCAACTCAAAATGGATTAAAGAACTAGACATAAAACCTGAAACCATAAAATACATAGAAGGAAATATAGGCAAAACACTACGTGATTTGCACATCAAAGACATCTTTACAGACACATCACCCAAAGCAGTGATAGTGAAGGCAAAGATAAACAGCTGGGACTACATCAAATTAAAGAGCTTCTGCACAGCAAAAGAGACAATAACAAAAACAAAGAGAAACCCCACCAACTGGGAGAACATTTTTGCACACAACACTAATGATAAAGGATTGATCACAAAAATCTGCAAAGAGCTGATGAGACTCAACAACATCAAAGAAAATAATCCAGTCAAAAAATGGGCAGAAGAGCTAAAAAGAAACTTCTCTGAAGAGGAAATGCAAATGGCCAACAGGCATATGAAAAAATGTTCAACATCACTTGTAATTAGGGAAATGCAAATCAAAACTACCATGAGATACCATCTCACACCAGTGAGAATGGCACATGTTAAAAAAACTAGCAACAACAAATGTTGGCGAGGGTGTGGAGAAAAAGGAACTCTTCTGCACTGTTGGTGGGAGTGCAAACTGGTCCAACCACTATGGAGAGC